ACCTCAGTATCCTCCCTACTCTCACCTCCAAAAACAGATATTAATCTCCACGTGCTTTTAAAACAAGGAGAAACAAGTAGTTAGGAGGTATAGGGAGCAGGGTGATAATAGCACAAGAGGGTAAAGAAAAGCAGTGGGGATAACATTAGCATTTAAAAAAAACCTATTATCATTGTTTTTGTTATAATACTTTTAAAGTCACATTGTGTTTTTGAACAATTCAGTATTATAACTTATTTATTACCAATTTCTCCTTTTACTAAGATACATTCATTGACGCTTCTAAAGTCATTTTTGAACTTTATTTTTTGAATTTATTAATTATTTTAGTATTCCTGATAAGATCACAACTGAAAAGCTCCTATTCTTTTGATTATTACTTTGAATTTACTTACTATTATATTTTCTGGAATTAAATTCTATCAGTGAATGAAGTTTTGTTTTTTGTTTTTGGGGTTTTTTTTGGTATTAATGACAGTGTGGAAATTATGTTCACTAAGATGTTTCTTTTAGATCCTCTGAATATGTTACGATGTGATTATTATTCGTACAGAGAAGATAAGCTAGATGGTAATCATCGATTGATAAAAAGGATATTCAACATTGATTCACTTTCACCAAACATTTAAAAGTACATAAACCTATTATTTCCCTTCAATTAACATCAAAACAATTTTAAGTGATGATCTCTTAATTTTATAAATTCCTAACTGGTGATTGGTACCTTCTTTTAGACCTTTCCTTTAGAAAAGATAAGTATTTAGCATCTCATGCTTAGCCATGTGGTTGTTTTCTTCTTTTTTTAATGAATTGGAATTCTTGCCCTTTATGTGGTCATTTTGAATATTACTTTCAACTTTTTTGAGATAAGACTTAGAATTTCTTTTTATGTAGGGTTACAATTTCATTTCCTGTATAATATTTACCAGAAAGGGCCTTTTTTTCCCCGAGGGAAAAAAAAAGCATTTTAATCAGGTCATATCCTCATATGATTTTGGCACTGCAAGCTTATGCCTTTCTTTCATGGTGTTCCCTAGCAGAAGATTGTCAAATTTCGTAAAAATTTCATACATTAGATCCACTTGTGCCTTATCTTCTGAATTCTGTCTTTTATATTCTTTTTCTCTGTTAGTATGATTGTTGGGTCAGTATGGTAGTTTTCAGAATAGTATTATATCATCAGTATCACCGCTTTGATCGAAGGATAGAGACAACAGACAATTTCTGAGTTTACAGATGAAACTGAATTCTTGCAAATAGTATAGAGCTAAGCTAAAGGAAATTAAAACAATATCTTAAGAACATATGGAAGTGTGCATATCTTGGATGGTTTATCCTTTAGATGTTGCTCTCCATTTTTCCATGTTAAGTTCCATTGGTCACCATTTCACCTGCAGACTATATATTGATTCATCCAAAAAAAATATTTATTTCATGTCTGCAATGTATGAGACACTGTCTCAGGGCAGGATATAAAACAGTGAACATTATTGACAAACTGCCTGTATATTTATGTGTGCATACATGTGTTTATTCATATATAAACTATAGGCAATGGTAATAAACCACGAAAGACACTTGGGTTTTGCTGCTAACTGAAGTCATCAGCTTAGTGTGATGCTCTAAGGATGACAGTAAAAATACTCTGTTCTGAGTATAAAACCAAAAATTCTATTAAGACTATTTATCTTTACTAATCTTATTTTATAATAGTAACCCATTTGTTTAAATCTTGTCTTTCTAATGTAGCCATTAAAAAGTAATAACCACTTTTTATTGAGCACCTACTACACGCCAGGTACTTTATATACATCATTTAAATAACCTTCATGGTAAGTGTTAATATAATGAAATTGAATTTTAATGAGATTAAGTTGTTCCAGGTGCTATAAAAAGTAGCTCTTTAGAATTCTTTTCTCTATACCTTATTTCCTCTCCTGGACATATTTTATCTTTTTCATTCCAG